GCCTGAGTCTCCCGTGCTGGAATTGCTCTTTCTCTCCCTTGAGTTCTTAAAGCATGGATTTGAACACCATCAATTTGGGACATATCTTAGATTACAGACTCCTTGAGAGTAGGAGTTTTTGTCGTATTTTCTTGTATATCTCTCATAGTTTTGAATATGATATTATGCACATACAAGGGAATCAATAGTTATTTATTGTTTATTGCTTGATGAAGGCCTTCAACTCATTCCACAAGTCACATTACTTGGAAGCCCCTAGGCCAGATAGAGGTTAGCTCATTTATTTTCTTTCTGCTCTCTCAGCATTATGCCTAGCACCAAGATATTTGAAGCACTGTGTAATTCTATCCTTGACTTCAGAACAGCTTCATTTCTACAGCCAAATCTATGAATAGGTGCATGCCTCTTCTGGCTTCTCATTATGAGAACCCCAAATAGTAGTAATTGATTTGTTGTGCCCTGTGCTAAAAAGAAGCAATGCCCTTCTGGAAGTTGTACGTGTCTTAAATAAACTAGGCTGAGTGAAGTGACCTTGACTTATCCAAATTAGCAGCCAGAAAGTGAAGAAGACAAGAAGACACATCCCAGATGGGACTAAGCTTGCAATTGTTCCTCAGTAGTAGATAAGCTCTTGAACAAATCCCATTACTTGATATCTAATCTGCCAGCCTCAATAGGTCACCCTTCATTACTTGGGAACATCTTAAATGTACAGGACAATTGTAAATGCTGAAGTCTTGGACATCATGATTACTCACAAATACTTTATTATAGGAAGTTTATACCTGAGCAACTTGAACTTTTCTATTTACAGTCCTGATCCCTACAGTTTCAAAATAGGAATAAAACATCTGGAGCGATATGGGCCTCAAATGCCAATACTTTGAACTACGAATTTGACCTCAAAATCATACACATGAAAGTTAAAAATATTGTTACTTGAAAAATCATAACACAATTGCATCAACCATTTATATCTTGATCTCTGTTATCTTCAGCCTTCTCAAATAGAAAGGAGGAAAAATTGGGAAATTTTCATCAATGTTATGTAAAGGAAAAGAACGAAACATTTGGAGCTAAATAGTTAGCTAAAGGTTAAAGGTTAAAATCTTGTTCTGATAATTTTCTAACTACAGAGCTTGGGAAATGTATTTGAACTCTCATAGACCCATTTTCCCTTTTTGTAAAACATGATTAATAATACGTATCTCACAGAGTAGTGGTGAGAGCTAAAACAAATAGATGTGGAAATGATTAAATAGAGTACTTTGTAAACCAGAAATTATTGCCCATATGTTGGTCACCATCATCACTTTTCTTCATTTAAAAAGTGATAATGCTAATGTATGCATGGTCCTAAATTAGGTACCCTCATACATCAGGAAAGAGTCCCATTAAAAAACATTGTATTTTAATTAACGTATTTTATAACTCATTGGAGCACTATCTCTAATACTCAAGGACACTGGTTTTACATTAACTAATATAGTTCAAACATTCAAAGCACTTAGCTCCCAAGGATACTGTCTAGAAAACTTGAGAGAGTCACCTAAGAATAATTCAGTGAATGAGCAGTGGCAGCAGCAAGAGGCTTCCTAAAGCTGCCAAGTGGCAGGTTGTTGATGGGAAATTTACCCTGAGCTTTCCTTATCTGGCTTATTGAGACTTAGGGAAAGACCTCTCGCTTTATGCAGAAACCACTTCAAAATTATCTCAGAAAGACAAGAATAGTATGTATTTTTTCAAGTGTAGGAGGAAATAAATTTGCCGTCTTCATTGATCGTCCATATCAAGGCTAAGCAATCCAAGGTTTTTTAAGGAAACTGTTTTGTAAAACTTCTTTAAGAAAGAAATTCCTATGAAAAAATAAAAAGAAATTATATCTCAAAGGAGGGGGATAAAGGAAGGAAAGCTGTGTATTCAGTTGTTTAGAGAAACTTTATATGCAGAAACTTAGAAACAATTTCTATTACCTTTGCATATGTTATTATTTGGACTTCTCTAATAAGCTATTATGAGGTCTTTTCATTTATTATTTACAATGAGCCATGCCCTATGTTAACTTCTTTACATGTATTATGTCCTTAAATCCCCACAATGGCCACTGAAGTAGACACCATTCATAGTCACACTTTCTAGTAGAGAAAATTAAGTGACATGTCTAAGGGTACACATCTAATAAGTGGAAGATTCCAGGCCATGTTGGTAGCAATGCAAACTACCTGTCAACGTTTGTGGGTGCTACTATGCATGCAGAAAGCACTTATTAGATGTTAGTTGATTATGGTTTGATGGAATACAATGAAAGCATACTTATTCATAAAAAAGTCATCTGTCACATGATTGTATTTTTGTGGGCTTGAGTTAGAAACCTGCCCAAGTTGAAGCTGTATTGCATGTATAATATTTGATTAAATAGCCTCAGATAGCCAAACTACATCTAGAATAGGAAAATTGCACCTCGATCTATCTCTAATGAGGCGTCTATTTTCTGACATCATTTTACTTTCAAATACCTAAATCACACAGGGACTGGTATCTGAGACAAGTTCCTAAAGAGATTCTCTCCGACATTTAATATCCAATGATTAAAAGGCGAAATAGCCCTAACCTTGAATTCTCTCACCAGTTTAGGTCATGCCCTGAATATTACATTTATGCTGTAATTCTGTTTCATTTTGGTTTAAAGAAAGAAACTCTTTACGGGCAATGACTATTTAGCTCCTGTGGTCAAATATTTATTAAAAAGAACATATTGATTTGCCGATTATAACTGACCACATATGAACCCTTCTTTCCAGTGACATTCTTATTTAAAGTATTGCTTAAAGGCTTTTCATGCAGAAAGCATTTTTCTTGTCGGTTCAGTTATGCTGGCTTTTGTAATAAGCTAATCTGATTTCCTTTTTTAACCTTTGTTTGATTAGGGGAACAGACATTTGCATTAAAATTCAAGAGAGATGAAGTCTATCATCGATCTTGACTCCCTCGTGGACCTCTTGTACTCAGCGAAAGATGATTTAGAGAATGTCAAGAGTCTTGGAACACCCATAATGAGAGAAGGAAAAAAATCACTTCAGACTTACAAACCAGTGAGGGCTTATTTGACAGAAAGGGCAATTGCGTTTGGTGGCTGTGTTTTAGAGAAATCAAATTCTGGAAGTTTAATTTTGTTCCTAGGCCAAGTCATTAAGAGATCTGTGAGACGAACGGCCATTCATAAAGTCCTCGCTGGTTAAACAAAACATTTCAAAACATCCACAGAGGTTAAACAAAGCACTCACATTGTTACTGGCCACAAAGGAAAGCTAAAAGTAAATTCTAATATTTCTGTATAAACGTGTCCCTGATAAGACACTAACCCCAAGACAAGTTTGTGATTCAATCCTCCATTGCTGTCTCTGAGAACTGTGAGGGTGAAACCCCTGGAAGCCCAAGTCTTCCGCTAGAGTACCCCAGGATTACCCTCTTTTATAACAAGACTCAAAGCTGTTTGCAAATTCTTACAGTTGCCTGGCGTCTGGATCCTTTTCCTAGACAAGAGCCAATCTATTTTGTGGCCTGAATAACTTCCATCCACTGCTCATTCCTGTAATCACACCCAGAGGTTTTTATTTGGCTCTTTTCTGGAAGTGGAGGCTCTTTCCATTTTCTGAGGTGTTCTGCTGGACTTAACTGGTTTTTTTTGTTTTTTTTTTTTGAGGAAGATTAGCCCTGAGCTAACATCTGCCACCAATCCTCTTCTTTTTTGCTGAGGAAGACTGGCCCTAAGCTAACATCCATGCCCATCTTCCTCTACTTTATATGTGGGATGCCTGCCACAGCAGGGCTTGCCAAGTGGTGTGTAGGTCCACACCAGGGATCCAAACCAGTGAACCCCAGGCTGCCGAAGCAGAACATGTGAACTTAACCGCTGCACCACCGGGCCTCCCCTGGACTTAGCATTTTTAATTCAAGAGGAACTGAGCACCAAGGAACCTAGAGATGTAGGAAATGTTCAGTGGGATACACGAAAGCACGTCAGCTGGGCTTCTGCATTCCTTTGCTATAGCTACTCAGAACATTTTCCAGGTGAGAGGTGGTAGTCAGGAAAACCAAAAGATAGGAAAAGAGAACAACTTGGTTAAAATCTCCCAAACAACTGGTTGCAACGTTTCTGGTTTCCGTTAAAATTGGACTCTCTCTCCCAACTCAGCTGAACAAAGTCTCTTGATTCTAGGTTGCTTGGAAGAATTTGGAAGGTCACCAGGCCATTGCTAATTTCTTTCTTTCTCTGGAAATGTCACTGAGTATATTTACCGAAAGTACTTTCTGTTACCCATTGTCCTAACAGAGATGGTTAATCGTCAGTCCCAAGTTTCTACATTTCACAACTTATTGTAGTGGTTTGACTATCTTTTTATATTCATTTTTTAACTACTGTAAATTAATGTATTTCTCTTTTAAGTTAACACAAGCTAAGAGTCTAGGAAACTAACTTGATAAAAACTCAATTTGGAAGTAGAAGATATTCTACTCAGCATTAGAGGTAAATCTAATGTTTCTTTTCTTCTGTGAATAATATTATAAAATTACATATATTTTAAGGATTGCGGATGAAATAAGATAGTATGTGAAATGTTTTCAAATTAAGAAAATAATACAACTAAAAATACTTTCGAATTCCGTGGTTAGGCTCTTTTATGGTAGAGATGGCACTATTTTATTTGATGTCTAACAAATAATCGAGAAGAAAAATATTCCATTTATGATAACAAGTTTGCATACTGTTAGTGATATGGAAATGGAATATCCATAAAACTTGGTAGGAGAATTTTTTTTCTTTTTTGAGGAAGATTAGCGCTGAGCTAACTACTGCCAGTCCTCCTCTTTTTTGCTGAGGAAGACTGGCCCTGAGCTAACATCCGTGCCCATCTTCCTCTACTTTATATGTGGGACGCCTACCACAACATGGCGTGCCAAGCAGTGCCATGTCCACACCTGGGATCCGAACCGGCAAACCCCAGGCAGCCAAGAAGCATAACGTGCGAACTTAACCACTGTGCAACCAGGCCAGCCCCTTGGTAGGAAGAATTTAAGAGAAGTATTTTCATATGTCTCATATGGGCAAATCATTATCCGTTCTTTTATGTCATGAATCCAAAAGTATCTATATTATGCTTTATATTGTGTTAAAATCAATATAATGTAATATAAAATTCATCCGGAGGATAATATATTTATGTATGCCTAAGGCATTTTTAGTTGCGACATTTATTTGGACTTTAATTTAAAAAATAATGCTGCTAAGTTTCTACCTACATTGTTCCTCCAGGCTCATGGCAGAGTCAACAGTCCTAGCACCTGGGAAATCCATCACACTCATCCCACTGGAGGGTTAGAGGGCAGACACATCATTTTTTTAGTCTTCAGTTGCCTTTTAAATCCACTGAAAAGAATTCCTTATCTCATAACAAAGATTTTACTACAGTATTTTATGTGTAATTTATCAGAATAGCTGCCAAGATGTTCAAATTTGTTTTAAAAAGGCAGGAGCTTTGTGGCAGACAAGCTTGAGGTTTAAAAGGCTTGATTTTGCATGCTCTTCATTTTCCCTGTGGTCTCTAAAGTCTGGTTTATTGGTAACCACCATGTTACTGTTCCTGTCTCAACTGGCTCCTCATTACTCAAAGCCAATAATAATGGCTAAATATGACTAATGTCACATGGAAGGTTGCAAAGTTCACTGCTAGCCTTCATTCCAGCTCGAAATGTTTTCAAGGTTAATAGATTGATCTTGAGCTGAGATATGATGCATTTATAAAATGGAAGAAAAAAAAATTTGGCATCACCAATATGTGGATAGTTTTAAATGATTCATTTGTTACATTTGGACTGTAGCCATGAAATTCATTGGGAATATATCACATAGTTATATTCTAACCTAGACCCTGGAAAATAAATTAATGATACATTTTAACATTAGACAATTTTACACACACACACACACACACACACACACCCCAGGATGAGAATTAGGGCATTATAACTTAGACTATTCCAGCTGGGGAACGTCACATATGTGAAATGGAGCCTAGCCTCTTTCAAAGAGCGAGACTGCACTAAAACACAGTTCAATTAAAACTATAACTCTAAGAGGCTGGTTTCTGGTTGCCTCCTTTGGTCTCCTTGCTTGGAGCAAATGAAGTTCCTGATCTCACCTTAGTTCTATGCTCCCTACACTTTGTGGGGCCCTGGTTCTGGTCTACGGAAGTCTCCCAGGCCCTTGATTAAACTTGATGAGGACTCTAGAATCCAAGAGAAAATCTTTACCACCAGCCTGTCTGATCCTGCCCATTGCCTTCCTCTGGGCCCACTCCTGCAACCAATTTCTGAGCTTGAATTTCAATTCCAGTTTGGCAAGTTTGGGGATCCCTGGCCTCTGGTGCCGGCCTGGACTTAGAGTTTGAGCCGGCTTTGCCAGAAACTGGCCCACCAAATAGAAGGCAGCACTCCCTTGGAGAGTCTTCTGGGTCTTCTTAAGCCTTTGGGTCCTTATTAGGAACAAGTTACCAAGGCCTGTAGTTTCCTCCTTTCAGATGTTGTTCAACTCGTCACTCCTCTTCATTCTGTGATGCCTAGATTACTAACTGCACCCTCTAGCTAGATCATCTTTGTTTTCAGTCTTCCTGTCTTACTTCCAGATTAATTAGCCCAACCACAAAAAATATTCTGTTAGTCTCCCCCCAAAACATCACCAGGGACTTCCCCTTACCTGCAGAACTGCCCCCAAACCCCTTGGCCTGGCTCTCGAGGTTTCCTGCCTGTTGTACTACGTTTCTGTTCCTTCTCTTGCCGTCATTCCCACTGTTCTTAGGGAACGGATAGACCTGCTATCTGCCCTTTGATTCAGCCCTCCCTTCACTGACTGTGTGACCTTGGGCAGGCCACTTAATCCAGCCGAGCCTCCATTTTTCACTTCTATATATGGTGAAAATAAAACCTTCCTGACAAGGTTGTGTGAGAGTTAGCCACACATTGCGGAAAATTCCAAATATGCTCCATGGCGTATGGCAAAGGCTCAGTGTGCTTGTAAGAAGGTTTTTACTGGCCTCCAGCTCTTACCACTTCAAGGAGACTCTACTCAATTCCCACTCACTCATTAAGGCCATGTCAGATGCCTCCTCCTTCACAAAGACCGCTGCAATTACGCCAAATATAATCACACAAGGCAGCAGTGCTTGATCCTATCCTATTTCTTATCACTTCCTGGTTTTTAAATGTGACAGTCTTGACTTCCCATGTAGATTATAAACACAGGAGGGCGAATGAAAATCCTAGCTTCTGTCACTAATATTCTTCTGCTTCTTGGCCTCGCCTGCTCCCTGCATTCAGTGCCCCTGCCCCCACTATTTCTGGGGGCCTTTAGGATGTGTTAGAGGGCTCATTAATGTTTACCTGTGTGGTAATCAGCCTCAGCTGAGCACCATGATGCTCATCCAAGACAGCCTCATCCGCAGGTTTCCACGCTGCCTCCACAGCGCTTCCACAGGCTCTGCTGCCTCTGCTGTCACCGCAGTCATCACCATCACATCTGCCTAGCGCACTTGCTGCCCTCCCTGAAGGTTGTCATGTCCACTGATCATCATCTCACGGCCCCTGGGTCCTGTTCCTTGTACCCGCAATGTCTTATGAGAGTTTTTAGGGAAACAGTCCTTATTTAGGGAACCCTTTTTCCTGGGACACGAGTTTATTGGAAAGCAGCCAGGAAAAAAGCAGAGTGACAGATTCAGCACCCCCTTATCCAACTTCTAAGAAAGGCTTTATTACTGGGTTAAGTCTGTAGATCCGGTTGCCTCTTCCCTTAGGCTAGGTTTGCTTCCAGGAGCCCTCAGTACCTCAAGCAAGTGGACTTCTAATGAGCCCCCTACCAGTTCACCAGCCAAGTCTCACGGCCAGCACTGGCACCAGAGCAGCAAGCAGGGTCTCTGCCTCACGTCCTCTAACAGCACTCTGCTGGACACACAGAACACTCGGCTAAAGGCCAGTAGACCAATTACCCTAGTCCAGCGGTATAAACAAAAGGAATCCTCGACATTAGGTTGAATCTGCACCATAGAATTTTATTTTTTATTTCCTGTTTTGGAATTGTTTTTCTATTGTTTGTCTCTTTTTTATAAAAGTAAAACTAAAGGAAAATAATGTCAGTAATTTGAAACATGCATTTAGGGGAATTAACTTCACAATTAACTTCAAATAACCAGGTGGAGGAAGACTAAACTTTGCTAAAGCATATGTTCAAAGAAAAACTGACTTTGCTTCATGCACTTGTAAATAGCAAGCACCAAAATACTTCCAAATCCTAGAATGAGGAGGCAGCATTAAAGATTCTTTCTTAGGATACTTCTGAAGCTACAAAAAGTCTACTGGCCTAAGGATTCAAAACTGCTCACTCCCCATTTTGGTGTCATCATTAGCTGCGCCTGCTCCAGGATAGCCTCATCTCCATCTGGTACACCTCCCACTCTTCTGCTAACTATCCCTAACCTTCCCAGAGAAGACCAAGGTGATCCTATAGGCATCAGTGAATTTCGAGCTAGAGGCCATTTTGTTATGCAGCCGTGCCCTGATTTGCAGGAGTCCTCCCCAGATTCTGAAAGAGAAGTGAGAGAAGGGGAGGGGGAGTTTGAATAAAATTAAGAATAAAGAGAGAAAGAAAAGTATGTTTCTCTATGACTGATCCTCTGGTTTTTAGTCTCCTAAACGCAGTGGGTTTATGTGGTTACTTAAAGGTTTTCAGATCTGAATGTGATACCCTACATGAACATATCCCCCAGACAGATGCACATCCAGATATTCACATAGACTCTTCCAGAATTGAAAATATTAAGACAAACCAACAAGGGATCCATTTCACAGTTGTTGCCATTTTCCGGCAACATAAGTTGGAGGCAGTAACTCTATGAAATTGATTTTCCAGCTGATATGATCTACGAGGACTAAGATACGGCGCCCATGGAACAGGAGAACCACGAGTGACCTTGCAGACCATCTAATTCAGTTTCCTCAATTTGCAGATGAAGAAACTGAAGTCTCAGGAAGTGAAGTAATTTGTTCTCAGACAGGGAGAGGTTCAATGTTAAAGCTGGAATTAGGGCCCACTTCTCTCTAAAGTCTACCTTTCCTTTCACTCTGAAAAGCTGTCCTCATTTGCCCAGTTTGGGGCTTACAACTGAGATTGTCTTCTTAGCCGGGTGTTTGTACTAGGGTATTTGTAAACAGCTAGGCTGCCAAGGTGAAAATGTGTTTTGTGGTTTCCACACCTCCTGTGTTTAATATGTAACACAGTGGCTGAAAGATTTGAAACACACTTAATTGATACTTTTCTTATTTCTAGTATTCAGTCTTTCATTTTAGAATTCTCTCTCTTTCTATATATCCCCTACAATGCCCCAAATTTTATCAAGGAGTCATTTCTGGAGCTTGAAGCTTTAGTAACTTTAAGCTATTGTCAGAAAGCATATGAAAAGCAGTACGAGGAATCCCATTACCCACTGTCTGCTAGTCCTGTTAAATTACATGCCTCTTGCTTTTTGCTGCTTGATTTCATAAGATCATCCCTCTTTCACTCACCTTGGGTAGAAATTTACGGAGACGATAGACAATCCTGGCAGAAACTGAAGAGAAACTGTTGCCAGGGGCTGGGAAAGAAAGGACGTAGCAGACAAATTACAGGGTTGCCTATTCAGCCATGAGAATGGAAACATGTCTGTGAATCAATGTATGAAAAGGATATTTACTAGGATGGGAGAAGTCACTTTAACACCTGTTTCTTGCCCAGCTGAATGAGCTAGTGCCAATCACTCACAGTCTGCATCCACTCTCCAAGCAGAAAATGACTTCATCTCTTATTCTTAGGATTGAAGTAGCGGAACAGGGTCTATTTTTAACAGTACTAGGAGCAATAACCATGGTATGGACTGCTAGGAAAGTTCGTCTTAGAAGGTCTGGCCTGAGGCATTGGGAAATCAGAGCCAGAAGAGAGAGAATGAGAGAGATCGTGAGCTCGTATAAGCACAATCACATGAAATGGAGTTCAGAAAATAAAAATTCTGAATAAAAGGTGAACTCATTTTACCCTGAAAATTATTAGGCCTAGAGTCATAAATGCCAAGCTGAAGAGCAAGAGGCTCAGCCAGTGCTTTTTATTGCAATCCATTACGGCAATAGAAAAATTTCTTTTCAACTGTAGCTGTCTATATTGACTTTGGTAAGGTGGAAATTCAGGCTCATTTATTGGCAAAGAAAGATTCAGAGTGAACCTCAGCAGGGCTCAGCTCGGAGCTCCGCATGTTCCCCCAAGGAGGGCACCCTTTGCGGGGCCATGCAATGAAATGTTAACACAAGCTTATTTCTTTTCTGCATTTATCCAAAGCTATAGGCTTCCTCCATGAACATTTGTGGGGACTGCATTTCATCAGAGATTCTGACTGAGCTCAGTTTTGTTCTTTTCCATGCACCTGAACCAGCACTGTGGCAAGCAGTGCAAAGAACACAAAATCACGATTATCTTGGCCTCAGAAATGTATTACTAATGCATTCTTTTAGCTTTCATATTTATCCAAGGATGAATGATGCATCTAGAACACATTTCCAAATAGCATACAACTTTTCTTAAATAAAACTCTCTCTTTTTACTGTATTCCAAATTTCTGGCTGATTCTTAACTTATGCTTGCTAAGAGTTTCTTCAGTTAGACCCTGATATCCTTCACGACTCCCAATTGTGTATCTTGCTCAGTTATTTCCTCCTAATTTTATAGTACAGGGGGAGAGACATGCAGGCAAGCAAATAAAGATGCAACGTAGTAAGTTATAATAAAATAATATATAGGAAGTTGTGGGAGCATGAGGAGCATTAATTTGGTAATTAATTTGGCTGAGGGAGGAAGTTCAAGGAAGGTCTCACAGGGGCCGGTCTGGTGGCACAGAGGTTAAGTTTGCACGTTCCACTTCTCGGCGGCCCGGGGTTCGCCGGTTCGGATCCTGGGTGCGGACACGGCACTGCTTGGCATGCCATGCTGTGGTAGGCGTCCCACACATAAAGTAGAGGACGATGGGTATAGATGTTAGCTCAGGGACAGGCTTCCTCAGCAAAAAAGAGGACTGGCAGTAGTTAGCTCAGGGCTAATCTGCCTCAAAAAAGAAAAAGGAAGGTCTCACAGAAAAGAGATGTCTGAGCTGGCTCTTGTGGTGGAGGGGGAGAGTGGGTGTTTCACACAGGAAGCAACATTTGCAAAGGCCCCAAGGTGTGAAGATACATGACACATTCAAAGAATAGCCAGTAGTCTAATCTGGCCAGAGTGTTAAGGGCATGGAGCTGGAAAAGTGGGGGCTGGGCAGTGAGCAGCAACATCTGAAACCAGAAAGGTACGTTGGAGCTGAACTGCAAACGGCTCGGTACCAGATGCCAAGGACTTAGCTCTTAGGTAAGAGCAGAGAACCCCTTGACTTAACAGCTGCATTCTTCTTCACACTTGCAGACATCACTTGAATCTTACCTAAAGGGGGGTTTCACCTCTACAAGTCTTGGTAACGTGTTCTTTAAACCCATTCATTTTCCTCTTAGGCACCCAGGAAGACTACATTTCACAGCTTCCCATATAGTTATATGGAGCCAAGTGACTGAGTTCTGGCCAATGAAATGTAGGCAAATGCAAAAGCCACCACTTCCAGAACACTCTGGTGGAGAACACAGAGACTCCAAAAGATGGTGGAGTCACTAGATGGAAGGACAGTGGGTCTCAGAATCACTTCCATCTGCCAAATACCCACTCAGATTGTGACTTGAATGAGAAATAAACTTTCTATGTCATTAAGCTACTAAGTATAGGGCATTTTCCCTTATAGTAGTCAACCTACCCTCACTAACTCAACGGGTGAGGAAATTCTCAAGGGAAAAGTAGCTGCTTGCACAGATGGCGTATCCTAGTGTATGGATAAATACCAATGGTACCTGTTCCCTTTACTCCAGAAGGACTCCCAGTGCAGGTGCCATAGCACTGGATCTCTCTGACTCTAACTTATCAGCAATAAGCGTGCACTGCTTCCTCATTCTTCCAGCCCTGGTTGACCACCTCCACAAGGCAGTGCAAAACCAGCTCCATAACACTGTCACCTCTCCCCTTGCTCCTCCCACCCCATACACATCATTCAGGGTGTTCGTTGTGTTTTTATGACTCTTTTCCTCAAGGCCACTCTTGACTTTATTTTAACTTGATTTAATCTGTATATAAATACATTTATTTAGAGAGTGTTTGGGAGCTGCAGCCTATCATAGGTCTAAGCTACATGACTCTCTGGAGACAAGCCTGAATGCAATTTACAGAAAAATCTTCTGCCAGGCAAATCTGAGCCATCTGAGGAAATGAACGTAGTAAAAGGCCGGAGCGCCAAGGATGAGGAGGAGGCCTCATTTGGGATTCTAACGCCTGCCTGTGACAGGCTGCAACATGTGGTTTTAATCACTGTTTTCCTGACCACGTTATTCAACAAGAGCTGGATTCCTTTTGAATCCAGAGACTTGGGCTGATAATGACAAATCTTTTAGGATAGATGCTTATCTGGGTACAAGATTCAGAAATTTAAATTCCTTTCACGATCTGATACTTTGAGTTTTTATATTCTCGGGTTCTGGGGAAAAGTGTAGCATAGCAATTGAGCAAGAAAGCTGAGAGCTCCTCTGAAGGGATCCAATTATTGAACACACTGTGATTGGATTACCTTCATGTTTTCAATATTCCTGCATTGAGCTTTATGGTCTCACCAGTTACAACTGGCATCAATTTAATGAATTATTTCTTGAAGAAACCCATAACATCATCTTGCAAAGCTTTATTACTGCCATATTTGAGTCTTCTATTAAAATTGTTTTCATTAAAGCCTGCTGAAAATTTAGACAAGATGGTGCAGGTAATTCCACGAAAATGAGAGTACCCAGAGGAGGAATCTAGAAAATGATTCAGCATCATGGCGTCAAACTCCCTAGGATCAAATCTTGGCTCTACCACTAAGTAGCTGTAGGACCTTGGACAAGGTACTGCGACTCTCTGTGCCTCCATTTCCTTCTCTATCAAGAGAGCTATAGAAGTATGTACCTCATGAGGCATGGAGATTTTATTATTTGTTCACAATTGCCCATTTCCTTCTCCTCATATCCAGTTTTTCCTGTAGACATCCTCATCCCATTGATTACGGCTTGGCCACATGACTTGCCAAGATGGGCCATAAGCAGATGAGCCATTTGCCTCATCTGAACAGAGGTCTGTGGAGGCATTGCATGCTCTCATCAGCCCTCCTGTTATGCCCCCCACCCTGAGACCAGCAAGTCTCATGTAGCGGCTACTTCTTCAGCTTAGGTTCTGGAGTGAGAAGACACCTGGAGCAGAGTCAAGATGAGCCCAGCAGAGCTGCAAATGCCCAGAAACTCCAGAACTTTTAGGGTGGAAATTTGAAACTGTTTCTCATTTTAAACAAGTAAAAGAGTCTCAAATTAGAACAAAGATTGAGCACAGATCCAACATACCCATTGTTAAGTCTACTGATTAGATTAATATGGCCCTAGTAAATTGTCTCAATTAGACAAAATGGCTTGGGAAAATGAGACAAAAGTTGCAGTCCACCTGAAACTTGATAAGATCAAAGTACTTATGGAGGCATTTCTTGAAAAGTTATGGATATGGCTATTGACTTACATGGAGCTTACTGGGATCAAATTGATTAAAAACTAAAACAGTTATGTAGAGAGATATATAACCCAAAACACCACCAACCTGGATTAGAAGAGACTATAACTATTCAAATCATAAAATAACACTTTGAGTCCCCAATTTTCTATGGCTGTGACGTAGTCTGAGATGGCTTCTCAGCCACAAATGGCATATCTTCCAATAATCACTTCGGAAGAGGCCAAGGAGGATAAAGGAAAAAGAGCTACCCAGAAGGTGCAATCAAACAGCACGGAGAACGATAGACAGTAAAGTGACTCCCAGGAAATGTAACTGGAACAAAACAAGGAACATTCCTTACCGTCAGAGTGGGGAGGTTGCAACTTTTGCTCAGCAGAATATCAGAATCCCTAGGAAACAGTGACAGGTATCTACCTCCCATTCTTTCTATTTTTTTAATAAGGTGTCCCTGCTCCACCATTGTATTATATTGAGTGTTTAGGAAGAAGAAGACAGACAACTTGTCATTTTCATTCGTAGGTCTCTGAATCGAGAAGAGTAGTAAGCAGACATGATGTGTAGTGCCAGATTCTGGACTTCTGAGCCTAGCGTCTGGTAGTTTTGAGTATCTTGGGAGAAGTAAAAGTATCTTGTGGGCAGAAGAGCAAATTGGAGAAGACTCCATTCTTTGTTCACAGTTATTTGTCCTCTCCCTTCCACTGCCAATCTTCTCGGTAGGTGGAGTATACATACTCACCCCACTGGCTTTGGACTTGGCTATGTGACTTGCTTTGGCAAATGGAACAAGAATGGATGGAATGTTTGTCATGACTGAACAGATTATTTCAGAAGCATTGCAAGTTTCCACTGGCCCTTTTGCTGTCCCAGAGATCAGCTTCAACTTGGTTTTCAGAATGAGAAGACATGTAGAGCCCAGCACAGGCCAGCAGAGCTGCAGCTGACCCTCAGACCTAAGGTAACAGGAGACTGAAATCAGTATTTGTTGTTGTAATCCACAGTGATATTGAAGTTGTTTGTTACAATGACAAAAGTTAATATATGAGAATGTTTTGAGGATTTGATGTGATAATAATGCTTAATATGCAAGGCCTGGCACATCCTAAGTTTAAAATAAATGTTAAATTCTGTCCTTAGTGATCTCTATTTCCCCATTCGCCTATCACAGCTGTAGGAGCAGAATTAGCATTCTTAAATATTTATTGCATGATTGAAGATGAATTAATGAAATTTATCCCTTTTACAAACTTAGAAGGTGACAGAAATAGAGAATCACTTCACCAATCCCTACAAAATCTAGTGAGACAACTTATAAATTGTAAAGGACACATTTGTTTGATCTATATTTAAAATACCTGGACTGAGGAAGCAGATACTAAATGATAGTTTAGCCAATATTTTTTGCTCTTCCAAAATAGGAGAGGCAAGTTATCTAGTATGAAAGGGTTCTGGGACTGTAAAAAAACTCTTCATCAGTTGTTTTGGTGGCAAATACTGAGTAAACCTGAATGAGACTCAAATGCTTATTAAAGCGGCTCGATGAGAACTCAATTCTAGAGAAAAGACATAGCAATTTTTTTTCTAGATTTTTAGCCTGTTTTCCTGGACTAACTTTGGGACATTGTTGTTGAGTTCTAAGGTAATTTGTTTTTGGACTTTAAAAGCTGCCTGCAAATAATGGACAGCTCATTTTAAAGCTGTAGCAACAAGAAAGGAAGGTGATAAAAGTGAATAATAAAAATTATAGGGGATTTATTTCAGGCTCTTTAAAAATGAAGACGACTACTTGGAAAGGCAATGCTTTTAAACTTTGAAATGTCCCCTTGGGAATCAAAGGAAGCCCAAGAGTGAGTGAGATGCTTTCCTGAACCTCCCTCATTCTGAGGCCTGCAAGGTTTTAAACCAGCACTAAGATGGGCATTAAGTATTGATGATTTTTCTTTTTAAAAAATTATTAATAATTGTATCAGCTAACATTTATATAGGGGATTTAATTTAAAATACTTTCACATTCATTTTGCCATTATACTTCACAACAACCCCACGACTCAGGCTACCCAGGCTTTATTATTATCTCTATTTAACAGATAACAAAATATAGGCTCAGAGAGGTTTAAAGACTTGCCCAAAGTTGCATAGCTAGTAAGGGCAGAGGTGGCTCATTTTGCCTCAGGACCATTGCTCTTTCTCTATTATCAAACCTCAATAAAAACATACCAATTGACTTCCAGTATTTAAATGGCAGAATTAGGATGTAACTGCCCCTTCCCTCTGTCATCCAGAAACATGACCAGCAGAGCTGAGTGATGAATTATGGTTATTCCTTCCATCCAAGGAGCAAAATGGAGGCGAGCGACTACGCATGGTGAACAGTGGTACAGCTGTCGGTCTCCGCTGGGCAAGGAGAAGAAGTCTGAAAGAGCTCACTCCTATGCATGACTTTATCAGGGGAACTTCCAAAAGACTTACAAGGATCTATCTCCTGCCTCACAGGTACCACCTGCAATTGCTGGTCCAGGGTGCCCATGCTAATGAGGATGAGTGACAGCCAGATGGAATCATCACAGGATGTAGTACACAAAGATACTACAAGAGAAAAGATGCAAGGAAACAGAGGTTGGGAGTGGGGATGGTGACAAATTAAAAAGCATGACCAGAAACATGACACCACAGACCAGGCAAAGATTGGCATCAAGTACATCACTATGAATTCATAAAAGGAAATGAAGCTATTGATTTATGAGACAAGAGTTTAAAATTGGGTTATAAGTGCCAAGAGAAGATAAAATGATATAATCAGAGATGAAACAAACCCTCAGAAATATGAAGGTAACTTTGGAAGCAGCAAAAGGAGAATAGACAGTGCTGAGAACAGTAAGGAATGTGGACGACAAGAGTGAGAAATGAGAAAGTGAAATGGAAATAAATAAGAGCTGGGAAAGATTAGAGATAAATGATAAATATGGAAGACATATTGATAAGATTCAGAGTTAATAGGAGACTTGAATCTAAATTTTAAACCGCACATCTTATTCTAGGAAAAAAACTCACATTAAATTATCAACACTGAGACATACCCTAGTAAAGCTACCAAGTATCAAAGATAAAAAAAATTTTTCTTTTTTTTTTTTTGAGGAAGATTAGCCCTGAGCTAACTGCTGCAATCCTCCTCTTTCTGCTGTGGAAGACTGGCCGTGAGCCTACATCTGTGTCCATCTTCCTCTACTTTATTTGTGGGACACCTGCCACAGCATGGCCTGTCAAGCGGTGCCACGTCTGCAACCGGGGTCGAACCGGTGAACCCCGGGCTGCCGAAGCAGAACGTCTGCACTTAACCGCTGCACCACCAGGCTGGCCCCGCCTTCTTTTTTTTTGAAGTACAGTTCACATACAATATTAGTTTCGGGTGTACGACATAGTGATTCGACATTTATATACATTGTGAAATGATCACCATGACCATCTGTCACCATACAACATTATTACGATATCATTGACTATATTCCCCATGCTGTACATTACATCCCCATGACTTATTTATTTTATAACTGGAAGTTTGTATCTCTTAATCCCTTTCACTTATTTTGCCCATCCCCCTACCCCCTTCTCTCTGACAACCACCAGTTTGTTTCCTGTATCTATGAATTTGCTTCTGTTTTGTATTGTTTGTTCATTTGTTTTGTTTTTTAGATTTCACATATAAATGAAATCATATGGTATTTGTCTTTCTCTGTCTAACTTATTTCACTTAGCATAACACCCTCTAGGTCCATCCATATTGTCACAAATGGAATGATTTGATTCTTTTTAAGGCTGAATAACATTCAATCATATATATATATATATATATACCACATCTTCTTTATCCACCCATCCATTGATGGATGCTTAGGTTGTTTCCATATGTTGGCTGTTGTATATAATGCTACAATGAACATAGGAGTATATACCTTTTTGAATTAATGTTTTCATTTTCTTCAGATAAATGCCCAGAAGTGGAATTGCTGGATCATATGGTAATTCTATTTTTAATTTTTTGAAGAACACTCCCACTCTTTTCCATAGTGGCTGCAGCAGTTTACATTCCCACCAACAGTGCATGAGTGTTCCCTTTTCTCGACATCCTCGCCAACACTTGTTATTTCTTGTCTCTTTGGTAAAAGCCCTTCTGACAGGAGTGAGGTGATACTTCACTGTGGATTTCCTAACAATAGAAACATTATACTCCTAACAAAATTCAGAGGAAAGGGAGGCGATAAAGAGGAAGGTAGTGTAGGTCGAGAGAGTTCCTTATCTTCCATAGCCAGGCATCAAAGCTGATAAACCGGCTTATGTAAATTTATGTAAATATATAAATATTAACATTGACAAAAATAATACAAATCAATCCAAATCAGCTAGTAGAGGAAATATTGGGGAGAGGAAGCGGGAATTACCAATTTCAACATTAATACAGTAAGGAGTCAAAGAATGCTGATCAAAGAAATAGAGATCTTAAAAATGTATTCTATATTCTTATAAAAACAAACTACTAGAGAAACAATTAAAATCTCTCATATTATTAGGAAAAAGAAAACACAGACCACATAGTGAAAGATAGAAATTAAAGCATCAATAAAAACCAGAAATATATCATTAATTACAACAAAAATAAGATCTGTCATATCCACTTCAAAAAATTTACCCTACAAATATATTCACATATATGTGAATGATGTATGTCCAAAGATGTCTACTGCAGAGTTGTTTCTAATATCAGAAGACTGGGAACAATTTAAAAGTCTATTAATAGCAATTGATTGAATAAATTATAACACATCCGTAAAATGGAATACTATGAGCAGTCAAAAAGATAGAGGCGGCTTCAAAATCATATCATTAGGTTTAAAAATAAGGTAAAGAGTACACAACCATTTGTATGAAAGACCACATGCACATAGAACACATGAATCAGTGTATGTGTGGATGCAGGCATAGACTGTCTCTGGAAGGACAGAGACATGGGTAAAAACAGACGTCACCAGACAGGGAAATTGGGTCTGTGGGGGATGAAGGCAAGAAGAGTCATTTTTCCCCATAGACCCCTCTATAACTCCTGAATTGTGCATGTATATATATTCTTTCTAGTCAAAACCATATAAATTAATTTATAAAAGGCAAAAACAACTTTACCAGTTGGTTGATGCTGTTGTGCAAGTGCCAGTTTATCGTGGGTTGGGGACGAGAGGTGGTTTGACTCAGAATAATTCCCCGCCTAGAACGTCTCTGAGTATCTACTTCGCTTGTGTGTCCCATTAAGAGACAAGGTTTCAATTTGCCTTGGAGCCACTTAGAGCTTGACTTCGACGGGACTTGAGCACAATCATCATCTGAACTAGACAGAAAAGTACTGCTTCAAGAGAAGGGTAGAGACTGCCCGCCATTTGTGGCAGGGCAATGAGACACAGGCAACTGAGTGCAATCAGATGGAAGTTACAGTTACAATGGTACGGAGGTATGGGTGTCCACGGGCATGCCAGGACAGCCTGCAAGGACATCACCAAGTGCTCTTCAGTTTTTAACTTTCTCACTGAATGTCCACTCCCATTACGAGCACCCTCCCGCATACGTCATTTGAAGTGAGAAAACAGTTCGTGCTTTGCCTGCACTTTGTGGAGTTTCTCAGCTTTCTACGAATAGATTACAATCTCTAGACCCAGGTCTGGGGACAGTTTACACAAGACTAGTCACACAGCATGATCTTCCACAATTTGCTATTTCATGAGAAAAAGAATCACAACGCCTGGGGAGAAAAAAGAATTATAAGGGCAGCCTCTCTCTTGAGAGTTGAATTTGATCCTGGAAGGGCAGCAATTCAATCTTTTAAAAGGCACATCTCTGTTCTAATCAATCAAGCTTTCATTTCCAATGGCAATAACCTTCCCGAGGCACTCAGGAAATCAGAAACTAGAGCCTTGTCCCTGAAGAGACAATATGGTATTTTCTACCAGGTTGATTTGGGCTTACAAACCTATCCAAGATTTTGTCAGCAGGAAATCTGATGGTCCAATATATCATGAGATGCCAACACCATCTATTAGCACAAATCTGTCACAACAAATGGAAAGATGTAGTTTGCACCTGGGACTTAAGGAATAGAGTTTCTGAAAAATTTGAGAAGAATCAGAGATAAGCAATAGCCTCCAGTATGTTTTCCAACCTCTCACTGTGGGTTATATGGTTTTGTGACAGTTGTGTCCAAGGTTGACTAGATATTCTCGGCCACGGTGGTTCTGACCCTAGTTACTTATGATAGCAAGTAGCTTTGCAGACGTCGTTGGCCAATAAAAGGCTCAGAAACCATGGACATGATTCTAGTCCTCTGTTTTTTCCATTAGCTAAGCTTTGTGTAAAGTGACAGGAAGATTCATAAAATCTGGGTGACTCAAATTTCAACAAAGCAAAATTTCAATTGAATTCAATGAATTTCAATGAAATCAATTTTCCAAAAGACTAGAAAAATAATACGTTATGCAAATACATTCCAAGGGATGAATAGTCAATATTATATCATGATGGAGCTTGTATCCTAACACACTGGTGTATGGATAGTTAACGGATACGAAGTCACAAGGCCTGGCTTCAAGGCGCAGCACCCCCCACCCCACCACCTCAGTAAGAGGCGTGTGAGGGTTGGAAGCCATTTGACTTTCTAAGCCTGCAAAACAGGGATCAGCAAAGCTGGTCTGCCCTGCCTTGGGTGGGCTGGGAGGAGGGAAGGAAGTGGAGTTTGTGATCATGTTTTGCATGTTACAAGTGATGTTATTACTATTCGGGCAGTTCTCAACGGTAACAATTCTGGGCTCTTCATGAGTACTCTGCTTCTGGTATGTTATACGACAAGTTCCTAGTCGGATCTAAATCTTTAAAAAAACCCGCTTTATTGGTATGATTGACATACAAAAAGCTGTACATATTTAACGTACTGAACTTGATGAGTTCAGAGATAAGTATACACCCATGAAACCATCGCCACGATCTAGGCCATAAACATATCTATCCCCTCCAAAACTTTCCCGCTGCCCTCATTATTTATTTATTTGTGTGATAAGAACACTTAGCAAATTTTTAAGTACACAATACAGTATTGCTAACTGTGGGGCCTGTGCTGTTCAGTAGAACCCTAGGACTCGTTCATCTCGTGTAACTGAAACTTCTTGATCTAATTCTTAATTTAAAATTTCCTGCCACTATTATCATAAAACTTTTTATGGCTTAAACATTAACAGTGTTTTCATAAAATAAAGGTAATAATATTGTATTTCATGACACTTTTAGATTAGTACTGATCATTTCATCAGACATGCAATTATAAAAGTCACTTGTTACAACTACGCCTCTCTCTACTGCTTTTTTCCGATTAATATACATAATTATTCTAAATCAGTAGAATTGCTTAACACTCCTGTTAGCATTTATTTTCCAGATATGTAATAGGACAAATTTCAGCAGGGCCATCCCTCTGAACTGCTTGACTGCATGTGGATATATTTCCATTTTGCTACCAAGTCCTCAGACCAAGCAAACCAAAGCCTCAGGGCCTGAGCCAGGCCTGGGGGAGCCAGCGCATCAGTGCAGGGACGCCACAGGACGAGTCTGCAAATGAATGAAGCAAAAATCACCCTACTGCTGTGCTGGCAGTCACCCAAGACGCATGCAGTATGGAAAAAGAATCCATCCTGTGGCCAGAGCTGGAACTACCTGGAAATCCTCCCTGCGTCCCTAATGACTCGGGTTAAGACAGCCAGGTAGTAGTTGTTTTTAACTGCTCAGCACTCGATGTGAGCCTTGGCACCCTAGGACACCTTTTAGCAGGTGAGAAAAGGCAGGGGACAGATCCACAGTCATTTAAAGGTTTCAACAAGTCATTTAGCCAGAGTACTCAGAGTACTGTACTGAAGAATGTCACATCTGCCAGAGCACCAGTTTGTGGTTTTCAAACGGGACAAATGGGTGTGGGCTGAAAGTGTGGCATAACCACCCAGAAAGAACTGAAATTGCCAAGCAGGAGGCATAACCACACGCCCTGATTATAATCTGTTGTCTGGCTGCTTCCTACAATATGAGTTCATGTCATTTACCCATAAGAAAATAAAGTTATCCGTCCAAAAATAAAGAAGGGCTTAATGCATTGCTTCATTTATCACTACCAGTCCGATGGCTGCCTGAAAGGAGCTTTAGACAAGGAAGAGACCCCAGGGCCCCTGTCCTGCACGGTCACTGATGAGAGCAAGTCTTTCCAATGCTCTGGGCCTCGACATCCTCATTCAAAAAATGGAAATAACAACACCAGCTCCATATTCCTTGCAGAATTGTGCTGAGGACGAAAACAACCAACCAAAAAGCACCCATGAGCTCCTCGTGCTCCCAGGCGTAGACCCTGAATGGGGCTTGCAAAGAGGTGAGATATAGTACCTGGCCTGGAGTATTTCACAAAAGGTTTTGGAGGAGATAGGACTAAAACCTGTGAAATAATAGTAAACCCTTGGGCAGTATTTGCACAAGTACTCAGTTACAGGATATAACCTATCAGACTTCACAAGCAAGGGAGGGTGTCCATGGAGAGGCAAGAGCTGGCCTGGACAGTGAAGGATGAAGAAAATTTGGCTGGGCAAAGGAAGGACAGGCGTTCCTCCTGAGAGGCACTGCATCAATAGAGACCTGAAGGGATCAAGGAGCAGGGTTATTCAAGGGGCCATGAAGTGACTGGCAAAAAGTTCAAGAAGAGTAGAGAAATAAAACTGTATAAGTAGGATGAGACCAAAGTCAAGCAACAATGAAACCAGGTGGAAGAGGTAGTCAGGAAGAAAGAGAAATAGAGTTCCACAGGCTTTGAAGCAATGGTGACCCAGTGCTCAAGGAAGATTAGTCTAGCAATTAGTGTGTAGGCTGGTCAGAGCTAGATGGAAAGCAATATGGAAAATCGTCTATTACCCACTCTTAGTAGAGATAATATAAAAAAACGGAGAGATGATGAAGCATCATAAAGGAAAAAACTGAAAAGCCTAGGTGACTGGATACAGGGGACAGAGATGAGTTAAAAGTTCATTCAAGTTTTTGAGCCCTCCTGACTGCAGGAACGTCTGCCCTGTTTGAAAGACAATGTATGGCAGCCCCGGTGGCCTAGTGGTTAAGTTAAGCATGCTCCACGTCAGCATCCCGGATTTGGTTCCCAGGTGCAGACATACACCCCTCTGTTAGAAGCTGTGCTGCGCTGGTGGCCTGTGCGCTAGAAAACAGAGGAAGATTGGTAAGATTGCCCTGAGCTAACATCAGTGCCAATCTTCCTCAGGAAAAAAAAGACTGTATACACGGATACTATTTTGTTTGCTTTACTGTTCTGGGGGATCATTTCAAGTCATTGCTCCATGAACAGCTATTCATTCTGTGGTTCTGTAAGTGGGGTCTTCTTGATTCTTCCCATCTTGGTTTAACATCAACCCCTGCTCTCCAGTTTTGCAATAAATATTCAGCATTGTGTTATTTTCATTGTTTTTTTAACCTGTGGATCTCTGAAGCTTGGAAGTAGAATTTTTTGTAGAATCCATCAATCCTTATTTGAATCAGTACACTATTTTTATGAATTTTAGCTACCAGATCTTACTGGCAAGATACAATTCCAACTCAGCACACTAGATGGCAGACAATCACTACTTTCTCTCCATCCCATTCCAAAAAAAAAAAAAAATCCCAGTATGGACAAACCAAGCAGGGGGCTCACACGTTTCTGTTCATTCTCTAACCTCATATAAGTACACACGAACTTTTGTGCCTAACATCCATCTGCCTTCCACTGAAAAAGTGAGGGAAGGATTCTCAGACTATTGAGACCTAACTACACCTACTTTGCCTTTTTTGCGTTTTTTTGAAATTTTTTGTTTGATTGACTATTTTGTTTCACCCAGGAAGGAAATGGTGGAGGGCACAGAATGGAAGTGGTAATGCTGACATTATGAAGTGAGACTATCCTGATTATAACGCGTTTCTTCTTTATTTTCGCAGGGCAAGGTTGGGGGAGATGGGGTGGGAAGGGCCGGGGGGGAAGGCGTAGACGGAAAGTATGATCAGGATGGACACCAATGAGACTGTTCCCAAAGCCACTGAGCACCACCGCCACAGAGCCTCTGCCACCTTTCAGAACTGCCTGACACCCCAGGGCCGAGAAACACGACCAAGAGTTATTTTAAGGAGACATCTGGTTTATCTTCTGCTTCTGGGTGGAAGGTACTTAACTGAGCAAAAAAGCTGACAGTGGACTCCACGCCTAACTCTAAATACTGAACTGCTTTGAAAAGGGGATTCAGATGGTTTGCGTCCACATCCTCTGAGCCTCTGTTCTTGTGAAGCACCCTTACGTCGGGTCTTAGCTGTCATAACTATCTCAGGGGATCTTAAACCTACTGAAGCTTGTGAAACTTCTGCATATTTTTTTAATATCTTAACAACATTCAATGTCCTCCTACATGTTTTCTAATTATATCTAGAAAGTAAAGGAAATACTTTATTTGAACATGAAATTTGGGTGAAAATTCTATTTATAATTCCCTTGGTGAAGTCTAGTATTTCTTGACATCTAGTTTGAAGACATGTATTTTTCCTCCAAAAAACAACGAAGAGACAGCAATTTAAAGCTCATGAGATCATAATCAAAAGACTTCTGATTTCTACACATTTCCTTAAATCTCTGGTCATTCTGAATAACCTGGGCTTTTTCAAGACCAACGTTACCAGGAAGCAACTCATAGCTTCTTTCGAGTTCTGTTTCCACAGACAGGACGCATCCATGCCCTCTCCCCGCCCTGGAACGTCCTCCTTGCTGCTATCTCTTTAAAGTCGAAAGACTGTTTCTTACGCGAAGGCAGAGGGAGGGTGGCCTGAGGAAAGGAGCTCTACCCGGCAGCATGGAGAGGGAAAAAGCACGCTGCCTCCGGAGCCCTACACTCACACCTTAGCCCGGGACGTAGTGTCCTTAACCTGAGCCTCACTTTCCTGGTGTGTAAAACAGCGAACGTAACTGTCCTACCCGCTGCGCCGCTTTGGCGAGAGTCACAGGAGCCGGAGTCACAGGGCTTTGAGTAACGTGAAGCGCTTCGCAGATGCAGCAGCGGCAGCAGCGCGGATGCCGGGGAGGAGGCCGGGCGGAGAAGGCGGGCGGTCGGCCGGTTCCTGCCCGTCCCTGCCGCCGGGCCTCCCGCTGGGAACCGCGGGCTGGGCCACGGGACAGCGGCGGGGATCCGCACGGGAGAGCGTGCTGCAGACTGCGCTGTGGACCTCACTGCTTCAAAGGGGACGTGATGAGTGAAATCGCTCCATGAAGACGTAACTGCTTTCATAATTGACTCTCATCTTAACCGGCTGAGGAACTACCCTGGCCAGCAGTAGTGTGAAGTTCGGTTCTTGTGATTTCACTTTTCCAGTTAGGGACGCGAGAGCTGATCTGTGTGAGCATTATTACCATATATAGAGAGAAAACTGCCTGGTGAAAAAACCCAAGAGCAGCCTGAGTCAGTAGGCTTGGGTAGGAGGGACTGATGGGAGGGTGAGGAGAAATCTCCCTCCTGCAGACATTATTACATTATTAACAGTGCTCAGTCTGCCGATGATTCAAAAGACACATCAGAAAAGGGAAGTGTTGCGGATGCTGGGCTCTGGCACCAAGTCTCCCCGCATGAGAGGCCACTGCACAGTCACTAAAACTCTGGAGAACCGATGAAAGACAGACTTCCCAACCTTGATTCTTAAAAATAATAATTGTTAGGTGTCCCACGTATAAAGTAGAGGAAGATGGGCACGGATGTTAACTCAGGGCCAATCTTCCTCAGCAAAAATGAGGAGGATTCGTGGTGGATGTTAGCTCAGGACTAAGCTTCCTTAAAAAATAAATAATAATAATAATAGTAGTAGTTACTACCTGTATTTCTACGTTTGCTTATTTATTATTTAAAGAAAACAAAAAATACTGTAAATAGAAACAGTCCAGGTTATGATCTAGGACAAAATCTCTCTGGCTTTGAAGCATTGCTGTATGTTAAAAAATAATGCAGGGGCTGCCCCGGGGCCGAGTGGTTAAGTTCGCCTGCTCTGCTTGGGTGGCCCAGGATTTTGCCAGTTCGCTGCTGGGCGTGGACATGGCACCTCTCATCAGGCCATGCTGAGGAGGCGTCCCACATAGCAGACCTAGAAAGACCCACAACTAAAAATATACAGCTATGTTCCCCGGGGGCTTTGGGGAGAAAAATGGAAAAAAATAAAATCTTTAAAAACATAATGCAAATACAGACATTAGGCAACCCTGGGGACAAGTCACACCGGTTATTGTGTGTGTAGGAATTGCTTGATGTTTGTGACATAACAGTTACTGGCACACCGAAGAACCAAAAACGTGCACCGTAGTGGCTTCAAGACGAGGAAGAAGACTTTTGGATGAATGTCTGGAAAAGAGCAGAAAGCTTTGACATCTATTCCTGACTCTTCCTTTCTGCCCGCGTGGGCAGAGCTCACACTGCCTCACTTTTCCAGTTGTAAAATGGTCAAAGCTCTGTCTCTAGTTTTTAGTACTCTATAAAACTTTTCTGTGATTATGCCCATAAAGCTTTTTGAGCATCTTGAAAGCAATATATTCTCATTGTTTAAACTTTTCTGTCACAGCCTATCATCTGATAATCAATATATAGTTTTATATATGTAGTTATATTATCAGATTATAATAAATATATGGTTTTATATTTCTATATATATAGTTACATTGATTACCACATAATAATAAATCTGTTTTAAATATATGTATATATATAGTTATATTGATTATCAGATGATAACAAATAATGTCTGTAACATAAGAAGTTTAAGCATTACTAAAAATCCCCATGGGCTTATTCCTGGATTCCATAAAAATGACACAAAAGACTATCTATTCTGTACAAATCAACTAGGAAAATGCGTCTACAACATTGCTCAGACTAAATAAGCAAGGTGACACAGGAACCAAATAATTACGCAGTGGGCATTTCCTTTCATAAAATAGGGAACAAAAAACCATTTTTTCCTTCAGAAAAATAATATTTTCCACCAAATATACTATCTTTAATTTTTTTTAACAGAAGTTAACATTCTCATCATGGAAAATTCAAACAACACAGAAATTCAAAAAGAAAAATGTGAATACCGCTTATAGTCTCACGTTCCCCAGAGACCAGAGAGATAACATCCTGCCAGACTTTCTACCAATAAACACATACACACACACACACCCATCCACAGGCGCACACACATCCGCATGATCATAATATAGATCATGTTCTGCAGTGTAGTTTCTTCCCTTAATGAATTTTATATAACTGTACAGATGCATATATGTAGATGTAGATGGACCCTATTCTTTTTCCTGGCTGCAGCATTGACTGACTATACCACAATTTATTCTCCTCAACTCCTCTTGATGAAGTCTTAGGATCCCCCTAGAATTGTTCCCTATTACAGAAAACACTGCAGAGAATATCTTTGAATTTTTGCATACTCATGACCAAGTATTCCCCCAAAGGTAAATTATATAAGAGGAATTTCTGGGGCAAAGTCCATACACTTTAAAAGCGTGGTTTTAAATTGCTCTGCCTCCCCTCAAAAGCACTTGGCGCACCCGCCTACTCCATTGTACGAGCGTCCACTTTCTGTTGCTGTTGTTTCTGCTGCTGAAGCCTTTCCTGTTCAGATAGTATTAAAGTTTAACAGTTTAACCACTATGTAATTATGATCAAAGACCCCTCCTCAAATGTGTCATTTGATCTAGCCAATCAGTGCCCATTCCCTTGGGCTTTCCACAACAGGTAAATGGGAAACAGTGCCCACTTTACCATCAGCTGCACAAGTACCTAAATACAGAGCTCTGGAAAGGCTGGCAAGCTGCACGTGGTGTAACGCGAGGGATAGGAGGTGTCCCCGTTCCTCTCAGACCAAATCTGAATGTGAGGCTCTCGCTCGCTTTCCGACTGCCCCAAGCACTGAAGCGCATGCTCAGTAAGAGAAAGAAAAGGGAGGGCCTCGTCTGATCAGTTCACCCACCAGATGCAGGAAAAAGACAAGGTGGATGAGATGGAGTCAACCACGAGTTCATCTCTTTTAACAGCCAGTGCTTCTGTCCACAAGTACTTTTGGTGCAGATGACTCCTCCAGAGGGGAAGGAGGAAGGGCATGAGGAAAGCAGGTCAACCGGGAACCTTGTAGAAATTCTCCCTTCCCCACTGCTGTTACTTCCTCTCTATTTTGTTATTTTGAGGTATAATTGACATATAAAATTATACTAGTTTCAGGTGTGCAACATAATGGTTTGATATTTGTGTGTATTGCAAAATGATCACCACAATAAATCTAGTTAACATCCATCAGCACACATAGTTACGAAAGTTCTTTTTCTTGTAATGAGAACTTTTAAGTCTGCTCTTATCCTCCTGTCTTCATTTATCCTTCATTAGACCTGTTTTCATATTTTTTTATTGGCTAGGCAGTTCTACGTATAATTTTAATTCTACTAGCAGCCATTATTATAATTTACCAAAAAACTGTGAGCCCACATTTCACTACCAGAATCTAACACCAAGTTATAACCATGTCCTCTCCTCCCTACCCCAACTGGAAACTTTTGCAAGCCTTAACTTTACCTCCCTCCCTCTCTCCTTTCCCCAGGTTTTCCTGAATAATCTGCCCCGTTTTCCAGATGCTTTAACAATTATTTTCTTACCATTCGATTTTTTTCAAGATTACCTTTAATTGCAGCACACTTTATTTATCAAAATTTATTTAGATTTCACTCTAAGTTTTATTGAATTTTTACGACTTACTGCTGCACTTTCTTGTATTTGTGTCTTTTCCTTTCTTGTGATCTTTACTCTAATTCAATTTGTATTTAACTAAAGTGTCTTCACAGTATCCAAAAAGTGTACATGGTTGTTATACTATTACATTCTGAATCTCTGAATATCTAGTATTCTGAGGTATAATTCTTTTCCTTGTTAACTTTTAACTCTGGTAAAACCTCACACCCTCCCGGTTTTGATATTAGACATTTTCAATCTGTGGACACAGTCTTTTCTCCATTTCTGAAGAATTATCTTCTCTTATTTCATCAATTGTTCATTCCCACTTGCTTCCTTTTCTTGCATTTTAGAACTCTGATTATTTTTAGATTAGACTTCCAAATCTGTTCTCCAAGATACTTATCTTTTCCCAGGATCTCGCTCACTTGTGGGTGCACTCTCTCCATATCATTCGGTTTTGGGAATTATCTATTATATCATTCAATGGCATTATTTAGATTTTTGTTTGGGCAATTATGGTTTACATTTTTCCAAGGAAATGTTCCTTGTGTTCAGAGTGTTTCTTTTTCACAACAGCCTAGTTTGTTTCTTAATGATGCAGTAGCCTAGATCCTCTCACATCTCATTGTGAATATGTATTAGAGTGTTTCTTTCAAACTCTCTCCTGGGTCCTGTTTCATAGAAGTTCATTTGTTCTAAAAGCTCAGCTTGGTGCTCTCCTTTCAACTAGAAGATTCTACGTATGTAGTTAGTGATTTAGTAATAATGTTGTTACTGGTATTAGCTGAAGTGAGACTCTTCAGTACTTACGTAACTCTGGCTCTGGGATTTCCCAGGAAGAAATGGTCTTAGAACTGACAAGTAAGAGTGACTGAGGGGGCCCACCCGGTGGCACAGCAGTTAAGTTCGCACGTTCCATTTCAGGGGCCCGGGGTTCACCGGTTCGGATCCCGGGTTATGGACATGGCACCATTTGGCAAGCCATGCTGTGGTAGGTGTCCCACATATAAAGTAGAGGAAGATGGGCACGGATGTTAGCTCAAGGCCAGTCTTCCTCAGCAAAAAGAGGATTGGCAGCAGTTAGCTCAGGGCTAATCTTCCTCAAAAACAAAAAAAACAAACAAAGAATGACTGAGCCTCTTCTTAGATGGGTGGGAGGTGGGTGGTGGGTGGTGCGAGGGGGGTGGTGGGTGGTGGGTGGGGAGGGCATAGAGCAGTTGGTTTCTTTCCCAGGTGTGCCCAAGGAAAGTTGTCTGGCATGTTGATTCCTCTCTGTCAAGGAGGCAGCAGTGGGGTCAAGGTGACAACTGGAACTGGAGCTACTCCTCCTGCCAACTGGCCAGATTTAGGCCAGCAAGAGGACTCCCTCAAATCAGGCTTCTGGCCATGGAGTCCAAGGGCTTCCCTTAGGAGAGGTGAGCAGGACCTGATGGTCTTTCTTGTAACCTGGCTCTCCCCTATACAACCTCTGTATTAGTTTTTTATTGCTGCATAACAAATTACCACAAACTTAATGACTTAAAATAACAAGTTCATTATCTCATAGTAGTTTCCATGGGTTGGGGGGCCAGGCATGGCTTAGCTGGATCCTCTGCTCAGGCCTCACTGCTGGGCCACAGCTGCAGTTCTCATATGGGGCTCGGGGTCCTCTCCCAAGCTCATTAAGTTTTTGGCAGAATTCAGGTCCTTACAGTGGATGACTGAGATACCTGTTTTCTTGCTGGGAACAACTCTCAGTTCCTAAGGCCACTTGCAGTCTCTTGTCACATGGCCTGCAAAGGCAGTTCACAATATAGCTGTGTGATTTGCATTTTTCCAGGCCAGCAGAAGCACATTTCTCTGACTTCTGATCTCCTTCCTGTTGTTGCAAGAGTGTCTTATAAAACACAATGCAATCAGGGGAGTGACTGTCTCACCATCATTTGCCAAGCGATCAAAAGGAGGGGATTCACCAAGCCACACCTGGAGCAGGATTTTTAGGTAATCCTCTTAGAATTCTTCCTTCCACAATCTCAGATATGTAAGAATATATTCCAGTTTCCAACGGTAGGGTCAAATTTCTCCTTCAGTGTTAGTTCAGTCACTTTAGTAAAGAACTGGGAGGGAGAGGGTGGGGAAAGCAGGGTGTCAAAGATGTGTGTTTATTAAAACACTACATTAAATTATTCAAATAATTATCTCAGCTTTCTACCGTAATAAATTGATGTTTTAATTTTTTTTATTTTACCTTTTAAAAAATGTTCTTCAAACAAATCAATGAATCTGAAATTTAAATAAAACTGCTTTATAAATTTAAGGCAGTGTATTTCTTTATTAATAGACTTTACTTTTTAAAGCAATTTTAGGTTTACAGAAAATTGAGTGTAAAGTACAGAGAGTTCCCATATACCCCTGCACTGCCCCCCAACACACACACACACATAATTCCCCCTGTTATTATCATCTCAAATTAGTGTGGTACATTTGCTACAATTGATGAGCCAATATTGATAAGTTATTATTCACTAAAGTCCACAGTTTACATTAAGATTCACTCTTGGTGTTATACATTCTATGGGTTTTGCCAAATGCATAATTGATACTTGACATGTATACATGTACATATCATACATGACATGTATCTATCATTACAGTATCATACAAAATAGTTTCAGTACTATGTTTTTTAACCAAGAACTTTTCAAGTCAGCTCTTTGTCCTGTCATGGAACATCTATGTGACCCTTTCAGGCAACTGTGAGGTGTCTAGACAGCCATGCCCTGGGCTAGGCTGTAACAGAGCCTCCCGCAACTGAATAGAGGCTAGCCTGAAATCCCTGACGTTCAAAACTGATTATTAGGGATGATGTGGTTCAATCTGTTTAAGAAGAGCACAGTCTCTGAGGAAGGAATTTGAAGACAGAGAGAGTAGTTTTGGTAATGATACCCATAGCACAGTCGAGACCAAAATCCAGTGGCACAGAGGGACAATGAGTTTCCAGAAATAAAAGTATCTTTAGGATGCTCTGTTAAAGATACTGTCAAGAAAATGAGAAGACTGGGAGAAAATATTTCATAAGACATATCTGATAAAGGACTGTTATCCAAAATATACAAAGAACTCTTTTTTAAGATTTTTTTATTTTTCCTTTTTCTCCTCAAAGCCCCCCGATATGTAGTTGTGTATTTTTAGTTGTGGGTCCTTCTAGTTGTGGCATGCGGGACACCACCCCAGCATGGCCTGACGAGCGGGGCCATGTCTGCACCAGGATCCAAACAGGTGAAACCCTGGGCCACCAAAGCACAGCACACAAACTTAACCACTTGCCCACGGGGCCAGCCCTCAAAGAACTCATAATATTCAACAATAAGAAAACAATCAAGCTGATTAAAAAATAGTCAAAAGACTTGAACAGGCACCTCACCAAAGAAGATATACAGAAAGCAGATAAGCATATGACAAGATGCCCTACATATGTGTCATTAAGGAATTGCAAATTAAAATAACAAGATACCACTACTCACCCATTGGAATGGCCAAAACCCAGAACACTGAAACCACCAAATGCTGACAAAGATGAGGAGCAACAGGAATGCTCACTCATTGCTGGTGGGAATGCAAAATGGTACAGCCACTTTAGAAGACATTCTGGCAGTTTCTTGAAAAACTAAGCATACTCTTACCATAGGATCCAGGAATCACACCCTTTGGTATTTACCAAATGAGTTGAACACTTATGTCTACACAAAAAGAAATGAGCTATTAGGCCATGAAAAAACATGGCAGAAGCTTAAATGCATATTACTAAGTGAAAGAAGCTAGTTGAGAAAGGCTACATGCTGTATGATTCCAACTACATGACATTCTGGGACAGGCAAAACTACGGAGACCTAAAAAGAGTGGTTGCAAGAAGTTGGAGGGGGTGGGATGAACAGGCAGAGCTCAGAGGGTTTTTAGAGCAGTGAAACTATTCTGTATGATACTACTACATGGCAACTCTCTGTATTTTCTGGTCAATTTTGTTGCGAACCTAAAACTCCTCTAAAAAATAAAGTCTATTAAAAAAATTATCTTGCAGAAAATGGGTGCCCAAACTGGTAAACAAGACTAAAGCCAAGCCCACACGATTTGTGGAGGAGGCTGGTTTGGCCACATATGTAGCTGATGTTAAAAGTTCCTCCAAACCCAGCCACTCTGGCTGGCACAGTGCCTGTGCCCTGGGAGCAATGGCTGTGCATGGCTGTGTTTACTGAAGAGCATAGAGCATATGCAGTAAAGCTTATTCTCTCTAGGAGGATGGCCATAGGGATCAGGACAGTGCAGTATTGCTGTGAAGCAGACTAGCCATAGCCATATCTGTTGCCTAAGGATAACAAATAGGCAATGAAATTCCATTTGGCAATGAGAAACAATGGCAATGTTACATTGTTCAGAGGTAAGCACTGTCCTCTCATAGGTATAGGAATCAGGCAAGTGGCCCTTTGCGGGACATTGAAACTCAAGAGAATGCTTAGGTGATTCAGGGAAGGCTACGGAGAGGAGCATTCAAGGAATAGTTAGACACAGGAGTCCTAGCTGATCTTGGAATTGGAGGGTTTCTGTTTACTTTGGAGTAGTAGGGTAAAGTAACCAACTCGCACATGATATTCCTGATCTACGAATGTGTAATTTATTTTTTTCTGAATTCTTTGATCTTGTTTTATGTTCTTAAGTTTCTGTATGTATATTTGGAACTCAAGAGTATACTTTGTGAAACAGAGGGATTTGGGGAGTGATCCATTCATCTTGGAGTCTACACAAAAAATAGTTTGATTAATAGGATTTTTTATAAGGTCATTTCACCCAAATGCCCCAAATATGAGTTCAGAGAGCAATAGATTGAAGTTATAACATATTTGACATATAACATATAATCTGTGTGCTTCTGCCTTCTTATTAGTATATTGAGATCCCACTGCCTTGAGAATATCTGTAACAAGACATAACAATACTACAATGGCTGCTTAGTCAAAGTCTCTGAGTTGCTTTGGTTTTGCTTTACCATTACCGGATTCTCAAGCTCATTTGTTCCCTTTTTTCTTCAGCTTTTCACCCAATTAAAAACCAGTCAGGCCACGCCCATTAGAATGGTTCTTTGAGGGACATTGAAGCCCAAGGGAGTGCCTATCAAAAAAAAAAAGAAAAGAAAAGGAAGAAAGAAAATAACAAGTGCTGGTGAGGATGTGGAGGAATTGGAAACTTTGTGCATTGCTGGTGGGAATGTAAAATGGTACAGTGCCGTGAAAAACAGTATAGCCGTTCCTCACCAAATTAAATGGAATTACTATATGACCCAACAATTCCACTTCTGGTATATACCCAAAGAAATTGAAAGCAAGCACTCAAATATATATTTGTATGCCCAAGTTCATAGCACTATTATTCACAATGGCCAAAAGGTGGAAACAATCCAATGTCCATTGATGGATGAATGGATAAACAAAATGTGGTATGTACATATAATGGCCTATGGTGGAATATTATTCAGGTCTAAAAAAGAATGAAATTCTGACACACACTACGTATAGAAGAACCTTGAAGACGATACGCTAAGTGAAATAAGCCAGACGTAAAAGAACAAATATTGTATCATTCCAGTTGTATGCGCTACCTAGAGAAGTCAAATTCATAGACAATGAAAGTAGAATGGTAGTTTCCAGGGACTGGGGGGAGGGGAAATGGGTACAAAGGTTCAGTTTGGGAAGAAGAAAAAGTTCTGGTGAGAGATAGTGGCTGTGGGTGCACAAATTGTGTATGTACTTAATGCTACTGAACTGTACACTTAAAAATAGTTAATGGTAAATTTTATGTTATGTATATTTTGTCACAATAAAAAAAATTATGAAAGGAAAGAACACTGGGCAGTGGGAATGAACACCTGGATTCCAGAGCTGGATCTGGCTGTGTTCATGCATGACACTTAGCTTTGGGGCTTTGTACTTCCCTTCCAGAATCTTCAAGTCGCTAGTCATTCACTCACTCATTCATTCATTCAACTGATGTTTAATGTTCATTAAGCACATCCACGTGTTTAAGTTACTCTAAAACTGCGGAATAGCTTGGAGACTATTGATTGTGAGTCAGATGCAGCATAGATTTTATTAAAATCCTCAATGAATGGAAATAATCAAAATCATTTTCCTGTTCAAACAGCATAATTGTTTGCTATCCTCAATGCAGATTTTTCACATTCAGATATAGATTTGATTTTCAAATCAGAGTGTCACAAAATATGAACGCTAGAAGAAAAAGGATCTTGCCTAGTAAATTATTTAGCAAAGTAATATTTTTCAAATAAAATTCTACAAGATCACTAATACAACAAAATAGAATATTAAAACTGGTACATAGCCTTCTCGGGCAGTCTAAATTTTCATTATCAAGCCAATAACAAGACATCCATTGTGGCAGACTTAAGCATATTCAAGGACTCCTGACTTCTGAGGTTCACCTGAGCTTTTGGGAATCCATGGAAAACCCGTATTCAGTTCTACTCCTTCATTCTACAGATTTAAGTGATCTGCCCAAAACGTACACTTTTTTATTCCGATTTTCAAAAAATAGATCTAAGTTGCAACTGAAAGTTGAAATACTTTTTTCCTTTATTCACAATGTTTTAAATCTGTAAAGCAATTGAGAATTGGAAAAGTCTACGTGTCTACGAGGGCAGTTTGGTAAATACGGTATAGTACAAGACTATGGACTCAGAGTCCAAAAATCTAGATTCTGGTTCTAGCTCAGCTGGTCACTAGATATGTGACTTGGGAAGAATCAGGTAACCTCCTTGATCTCTGTGTTGAGTTAGGCCTGAGAGTGAGGGTAATAGTGCCCAACACATCTAGTTTGCAAGGTTACCATGTACATGTGAGTTAAGCTTGTATTTTTGAGAATGTTTTTGCCACAGTTTAAGACAATGATAATAGCTATCACCAAAACTGAGTTCTTTTAAATCTGAATAAGATGGTGCATTTAAAGCTGTATATTAATAAATGTTAAAATTTTATGTTACTCATATATTTTTAATTTATAGAATTAAAGTGTTATTGCTCTCCCTTCCCCCCCCAAAAATAGTCAAGTATAATCTGTGTAACCGAGTTTTGAATTCTACATCTGTCACTGGGCAGAAATTCCTAGAGATTTAAAATAGTAGCTAATCTATTATTTCATCTATTTCCCTTCGACAGTAAGAAAAATATAACTTATTGGTCCCTCAAATTTATGATCCCTCCATCTACTCATGGTTCAGCTTGCATAGTTTTGTTCTTAATCAAATTTACATTTGAAATGCAAGGTTTTAAAATATTAAACTGATTTTTCTATTGAAATAGTTTTATTAACTTAAAACTTTTAAGCTATATGCCTTGATAAGGTTACTCCTCTCTGGAATAAACAGAAGCACAAACAGGTAACAATAATTCTTATTTCAGACCAATTCCTTTAGATAATCATCAAAACAACTAAAACAGAAAACACCCATATAAAATGTGAAATTCTTTTGCTCTGTCACGGGTAAAAGAAATGGTGCTTTTAATCAACAATTTAAAGAAAATTCTGTGATTTAAGTCAGGGATTGGCAAACCAAGGCCTGCAAAGTAAATCTAGCCTGCTTCCTGTTTTTGAAAATAAAATTTTCTTGGAACAGAGCCATGCGCATTTGTTTACATATCATCCATGGCTGCTTACAGAGACCGTATGGTTTGCACAGCCAAAAATATATCCTATTTGATCCTTTGTAGAAAAATTTGCCCACTCCTGATCTAGGGAACAAGTAGAGGAAAGAGAAAATAGATACTCCCCTTTCTTGCTGTAATTGTATAATCAGAAGGTTCCAAAGTAAAAATGTTCTGTGCTGAGCTGGAAACAGGCCTTCAGCCTAATGCTGATTAAAGCCTTACATTGAAAGGTCACCCTGTGGTCAGTGTTCTTTACAGCTGGATGACAGGAAGAGTGAGTTAGTTTCCTCTGCCTGTGGGAACAAAGAGCAACTAGCTGTGTCCATATTTCTTAGGCAATATGCATTTTTTAGGGACAGAAAGCAATAATATGCAAACAACAATGATATACAAACAACCAGTAACAAAATGATGCAGATCCTTTTCACAAGTTTTCAGACAGGTTTTTGACCAACTTTTACTTTGAGGAGCTGCCTCTCTGGGACCTCATGTTTTAAGACTACAGGAGGTGTGCAGCAGTATCATAGAAGCATATTTCCTGCGCTCCTCTTTGCAGTCTCAGGATACTCTCTCCTTTTGTAGGAGAAATGTTTTAATACTTTCTGTACAAGCCACAACCTTAACCCCTGGGACCAGCCAAACCTGATATGGTTCCACTCTAATCCTTCCTAGCTACATAAGGCAATAAATTCTTCTTTTTCGCTTGAGATCTTTGGGTTGAGTTGCTATCACTTACCATCACAACAGTTCTTTGTCTGAGTGGTCTGCTCACCTCTCATAGTCTATGGGTTTTCACCCCCAGTAAGTCATCTGTGAGGGCCGCCGTACGTGGTGCTTAACGTCAGACCTGCATGAAAATCGACGCTCCAACACTTGTTCGTTGTGTGGGTGCTTGAGCTTCAGTTCCTACTTCTATAAAATGGGGATGATACTTGCTTTCAAGATTGTTGCAATGATGAAAGGAGATTACATATTTGAAAAGCATAAGGCATAGAGGAGATAATGTATATTATGAAAGTGTTCCTCCCTCCATCCTCCTCAACCAAATCAGGGTCGATGGATTGGAGGTCCCACTCTCACCTCCTACGACTCATCCTATACATACTCATTCTTCTAGAGTTAATTCAATTGTTTCTCCTTCGGGAAGCCTTCCTTACCTGCCCACCACTGTACTAAGCTTACCTGGAAGCCAATTCTCAATGATCTTACAACCTTTTGAGATTAGCACCATTTATAGCACTTAACCCAATTTTTAAGAATAACTCTCTACTTTATTCATAACAATACATATTCATTATTAAAAATTGGAAAATATAAAAAAGTACAAAGATGAATATAATAATTGCACAAACAGCCATGTTCTCACTCCTACAACCCAGAAATAAGTGAGAGAGAATTCCCTTTCTCTCTCTCTCTCCTATTCTCTCTCTCAACCTACAAGTATTAATATGCTTTTAGTTGCAAGTAAGAGAAAATCTGGACTCAATATTCATTTGGCTCAAACAATAAGAAATAATTGGCTCATGTAAATCCAGAGATAAGGTGACTTTTTAAGTAGGACAATTCATCAAAAGTCAGTCTTGGGCCAGCCCGTGGCCGAGTGGTTAAGTTCACGCGCTCCACTTCAGCGGCTTGGGGTTTCACCAGTTCGGATCCTGGGAGTGGACATGGCATGGCTCATCAAGCCATGCTGAGGTGGTGTCCCACATGCCACAACTAGAAGGACCCACAACTAAAAATACACAACTATGTACCAGGGGGCTTTGGAGAGAAAAAGGAAAAGTAAAAATCTTTTAAAAAAAAAAGGTCAGCCTCAATTATGGCAACAAAGAACTGGAACTGAGACAAATTTAATATTCCTTAAGTGCTATTATGAAGACAAAATGAAAATCAGTCAACTATATCTAAATAGCTAAAATAAGTGAGCAAATTCAGCAAACTGGCCATATGGGGAATTGATTACAGTGGGTAGGCATTTGGTAAATTGACTTTTGCCACTGACCTACAGCAAAGGCCTCCAACATTGACTGATCAGCAATCAGCAGTGCCAGCCGTGAGGGCCTTTCCATCTTTCTTCACTCTCCTGGCACGCCGGCTCAGCCCCAGCCTGGTTGCACGGTGGCTACCACGGTTCTAAACATCACATACAGACTCACCAGCATTTAATAGAAGCAGAATCTTGGTTTCCTGTGTCTCTTTTCAAGATGGAGGAAAACTTCTCCTTGTCCTCTCGTTGGCCTGAAATGAGCCACATACTAGCCACGCCTCAACCTATCACTGGCAAGGGGAATTCATGGTGACCATGGATGATTCGCTCTAGGGCAGGGCTGGTGCCTGCCTCCCCTAAAGCCATGCAGAGGAGAATAGAAACCTCAGCAAAATTGTGCTGTCAGGAACAAGAAGGGAAATGGGATGGGTAGGAAACCAATCGTTTCTACTACCATGTCTTTTTGATTTAACATATATAAATCTTCCCATGACAATAAATGTTTTTTGAAAACATTATTTTAACTGAAAACATAATTGCAAGAAAGCATCACAGTTTATTTAACAAGTTCCCTGTTGTTAGATATTTGGGGCAATTCAATTTTTCGCTATTATAGATCACCCAGAGTTTTGTCTTAAAACTGTCAAATTAATGCCCATAAACTCATTGTCTTGA